TTATAAATAAATAAATATTTAGGACACATTTTTACACAACATTTTCTAGTCCCAAACTAAGCAACGCTTGTACTATAAAACTGATAAACATACTTGAACATACTTTTATTTTGTAAATAAATACATATTATACATATATAAACATCCAGACACTACAAAAACATTATGTTCATCACACAGTATTTTTCCAGTAGTGGGGATCGCACTCACACCCTCTGGCGCAGGCCGCAGGAGGCAGGCACGCCATTCGGGTCGTCATACTGTTCCTCGTACCCTTCTTGTCGCAACCAATGTAGGCTAACGTGCTCGCAGTGGCCCCTTGGCTCTTATCGTGAGTTCCTCAGGAGTTCGTCGTAAGAGACCAAGCCGCGGCCTCTAACCGCCCCTACCGCGACTAACCCACCCACGAGACAAAACATGAAAGTGAAACCTCCACTTCACTCCGCTCTAATAGGTCGTGGTAATACCACGGACGAGCCCGTGCGTGGCACTAGCTGGCAACTCCATCACCTAAACCATTGAGATAATCCTCAGTCAGCGTACATAGATAGCGATTCTTATGCAGCATACATAGATAGCGATATTTTTTTTTATTTAAAACTTTTTGCACATACAACGTACGTTGGCGGTGTTTTTCTCTACCAGTCAACCGACAAATAAATAATTAGAGAGAATAAGGAGGTGCGAAAGAGCAACATGAGCAGTAGTGTAAAATATGAGGTTATATAAAATACTTCGTATAAATATACACGTATACCTACAAAGTAATAAATAATTATGTCAAGAAGGGTAAAGTTCAATTAGCTCAATCTTCAATTCTATCGAATATCTACATAAAATTTTAAGATGGCACGTTTCTCTTTGAACACTTTCTGATGGATTAAGACGGCACATTTCTCTTTGGTAGAACACCATCTGACGGCGATGGGTAGCGAGTACCAGAGCTGTACAGCTTGGCCCATGTCGGTACAATTATTGTTAATATTAACTGAAATATCTAATTATATAACCTCTTTCGAAACTACGCAAACAGAAGTAAGAAGCTTTTTCACCAAGTTATGTTAGGTCTCACTCACAATAAGTCACGTTTAAAATAGTACAAATCTTTACTGCAGACCTACGGCAAAAATACAAGTCAATCTCCTAATAAATACGCGTTTTTTCCTGATGTAGAGTCCAATATACTATAGCCCTGGGCCTTCGGTATTCAAAAAGAATGTCTTATCAATTTTTATAATTATTCCGCCAGTGCAATCGCACTATCGGATGCAAGTCATGATTATTTGACTATTGCTTATCTTATATATTTTTACAACAAAACAAAAAAAATATATTATCATGTTATAATTTTTTTTATAAAGTTATTAAACGATTGACAAATGATCATTTGCACCGGGTATATTCGCCAGTGTTTAGATATTTTTTCGATCGCCATTATCGCTATTATATTTAAATATCGAATGCTATACATATATAGAAGACACAAAGCCTGCGTTAGTTCAACAGTTCAGAAAAGTCAATTACGTCATTCGAACTCTAACCGCGCGAAAATAAATCAGTTTGTGTGTACATTCAGTGTCTGAGTGCAAAAAGAATGAGTCGCAGGGTAGACGTTGTTCTGGGATATTTCAGTTTACCATTTCTCTTCTAGCTTTATTACAAATATGACCTCATCCGAACGCCACGTGTGAACTCGTCGTATGCTTGCCTCTTAATGAAAACGACAAATATATCGAATGAAGTACCGAACGGGTTTTATTTATTTTAACATGTCTATAACTGTACGCTATGTGGGAAGCAGAGATTTAAGATTATTCATATCTCTATATGAATAATATGCGGTGTGAATTCCCCCAAAGCAGTGTAATATTGTTGCACATTTTAGCGTTTTATTATATTATTGTATACTACAAAAGAATAGTACGAATATAAATAGTTAATCAAGTTTAAAATATGTATAGTGTGTTGACAGTTCTATGAAGGTTACAACACTGGCGCATACATTTTCAGTGAACTATTCTACTTATTACGAGACAGATGACAAAAAATCGTACAACTCGACGCGTATGTTGAACAAACATGTGCGTCGCAGTTCTCTTAAAAAACGCCTCCCTGAAAAAAATATGTAGAAAAAAGACCACTCGAGCGCTGAAGCTCGCCCGTTTGACAGGAAACATGATATTTTATTTTGGCCGTGGGATCAAACCGGCCCGATAATTTGTGTTCCGAGCGGGACATCACAGGCACGGTGATTTTTAAATTGCCAAAGACATTTCTCGACTATTAATAGACGGGAGAAAGTCCCTACATGATTTTCCACGAACAAACCGAAATTAACACGGCACTTATCAAAGGACAGGGGAAATAAAACGCCCCTAATGAGAAAATATTAAATATCATTAGTTGACATGTAAATAAAATAGAAGCGTCAGGCTATTTCCGACTTCTTTAAAATCTATGTTTACACGACCACAAAGCTCAACCCCTCACGCATACCATCCATTATACGATTCATTAACTCTCCGTTTTGGCGCGAAAAGCATAAATCTCTAATAATTGGCGCGAAATAATCATAAATTGTCCCAATTGTTTTTCTAGACGAAGTTCAAGCCTTGCATTATTTCTTTTTTATGATTTATTTATTCTTTATTCAAAAAAATGGTAAAAAATACCATCGGCATTATTTACCAGTATTGTATGTGAAAAACATAAATAAAAAGCTGACTGGATTGAAGTCTTATGCTACATTCTTACATCACGTATCTCACATTCTCCAAGCTCATCGCGTCAATTGAAGTCCGGTCGGCAAAGGAATAATAAGAATCAATAGCAATCAGCGTCAATCTACTCCAGGAAACCTTATCGCTGACTGATTGTCCGGCGCGCGACGCAGTGGCCATTGTGTTGTGGCGGAACAAAAGTAGCCGCGCACTGTTTCATTATTACTTCACTAGCCGTGCCGCCCCGCTTCGTCCGGCTTCGTCTGTCGGTACCATTGTCGCGACGTTAATTAATTCGTTGTAGCCCCAAAATGCTTTAGACAGAGCACTGTACCAGCAGTGTGAGCTTTTTTGACGGTATATTTTTGAATTATTTGCCATCTTTCTCAGCAAGTACGTAACTGATGCCAAATGAGACGATTTTATTATGTATTATCGATGCAAGACCAGTGACAGAATAATGCTGCTACGCTGTCGTATTGAGGGTTTTGGTGAAGACTAAATGATGACAGATTTAACTACATGCATTATTACGCCAACAACATCTTTGAAGAATTTGCACAGTTAGTTAGATACACTTTTAAAGTCTCCCTTCATGATTTCACCATTGAAGTTTTCTTGTGCTCGGTTATATCTCACGCAAGAGATATTCATATTAAAGTATCTACTGCACATAAAAGGCTTCCAGAGGTACTTCTTGCATTACATAACTCTCGCTAAACGTATTAACGTTATAACCGTATCCTAACAAGAATCAAGAGGCACAGGACGCCTTTACGGATAGTGCCAAATGTTGTTTTTTTTATGTTATTACATATTCTCGAAACAGCTTTGCTTGGTGAAGATGTCTCTGGATATTTAGGTATAAACCATTTCATAACCGTGTCAACAATAATCCATACTTAATATTACAAATGCGAAAGTAACTCTGCCTGTCTGTCTCGCTTTCACGCCAAAACTACTGAACCGATTTAAATGAAATTTGGTACACAGATAGTCTAGAGCCTGAGAAAGGACATAGGCTATTTTTTAATGTGGAAAAAAGTGTTGTAAAGGGTTGAAAGGTTAAAGAAAGATATTTATTTAAGGGCATCAACGCGACCGTAGCCGCGCGCGAAAAGTTAGTTATATATATTTTCAACGATATACTTAAAGTAAAGTAAAGTAACAGCCTATACACGTCCCACTGCAGGGCAAAGGCCTCCTCTATACAGAGGGTACCAGGGCATAGTCCACCACGCGACCCCACTGCGGATTGGCGGACTTCACATATCTTCGAAATATACATTTTTTATTACTTTTTATTTTTTTTTGTTATTATGCAGGTTTCCTCGCGATGTTTGTCCTTCAACGCGGAGCACGTGATAAGTCAGCACTTAAAGTTAAAAACTTCATTGGTGCCGTCATCGGGATCGAACTCAGGTTGCTCGAGTATATCGAATTAAAGGCGAGCGCCCGGACACTGAGCTATCACGGCTCGTCATACGAAACGAACGATGTCTTTATTAGGTCTTATTTAACTTATAAATTGTCTTTATAAATGCTAACTACCCTTAGTGGTAAAATACCCTTTAAATTAGTTGATTTCATATTTTGGAATGATTTACATTTCTCAGTAATCGGTACAATAACAGCACTATGTACAAATAATATTGTTTGGAACTTTGACGCTTTTGCATTCAAGCAAAGGAGTGATTAATTATCAATTCAAAATTATAGTCTAATTTTAGTTATATAGTCACTGCTCCTCTTTCTTCAACTTCACAAAACTAATTTATTTGTTATCATTCGACTAAACTAATAGTACCGTAACTGCCTACACAAATATGATATGTCCCACTGCTTGGAAAGTATCTCCGCCATATGGAAGGTCTAGTGCAAATTGGCAAAGCTCATATATACTCGAGATATTTACTTCAACTATTTCTTGAGTATGGTCTCCTCACGGTGTTTCCTTTAGCACTGAGCACTGTAAATCGACATTTAGAATTGCAATTAGCAATTTCGTTGGTGCCGCACGAGTGTTTAGCTCAGTTTGCTCGTGTAATTAAAATTGAGCCACCGGTCGTACGACTAACTGTGTGGAGTTAATTTAACGTCTTAATTGGTACAAATTAACTGTACGGCCGCGCCGATGGCCCTTTTAAAAAGCGTAAATAGCTCGACCGTACGCGCGGTGGCGCGGGAAATAGATTTTACGATTGCGTGCGGGGCGATATTTACGCGTGTTTACACTTCGTATGGACTTTATAGGCGCAACGACACCATTGGTGTGCACTAGGAGTAGCGGAACTTGACGATCGCCTTGCGCAATACCTCTCTTATGTCTCCTATTCCTTCTTCGCAAAACAGTCTCCGCGTTAGGAATCGATTCCCGCGCCTCTCGGGGACGTCGTAACCTAAAAACCAAAAGTAGCGCGGTTCACAAGAATTAGTTGCAAGTTCATGATATATTTCTATAGTACGGACACGGTGTAGCTTCCACTAAATACCATAGCCTGACATAGACGTGTGTACAGTCGAAATAATTATACTTTCCCCTGGAGAAAGAAGAGACGGATGCTACTCCTGTTGAAGTTTGGCAATGCATCGGCTGCTTTGCTGATGCGGATGTCTTGGTTGGCACTAATCACATACCGCCAAGCAAACCGCTTACTTATTTGGCACCTGTAAAAACGTGCAATTGACTATGAGTTTTGAAATTATAGATCTATACATTGGCAGTTGTGGAACCCGCGGTTAAACAGCACATGCATTTCGTCGGCACAAGTTATTTCAGCAGCAATTGTACTCGATGGCTGTGCACTTACACTCTTTAATCGCACCATACGGATCCAGACACGAGCCAGTGCATAAAGCACACGTCGTTACTCGCTCTAGTAACTTGCGTGGTGTATCGACAATGTACACAGAGCTATCTGCTCGCACAACTTGCGCATATAGCTTCATACGTATCGCGCGTAAAGTAGAAATATTTATACCTCCGTCTTGTATGTGTGGTAACCCCCCATTTACTTAGTTTGGCAACGAAACTGCCTCGGGTACGCGCATGTCCATTTTTATATGACAAGGTGGCAGTTCACTTGATGTTAAGTGATAACCGCCGCCCATGGACATTTACACCCATTAACACCCTTAGGGTGACAGATGCGTTGCCACCTCTTGTTGTCGCCGTTGCCAACGATGACATCCCTAGTTTTCAAACATTACGTTGTAAAAAGTCATAAGAAAGGTCATCGTTTCCCGTGAAGGCACTAGATGGCAAACATTGGTTAAAATTCAATAATAAACAAAGTACATTATTTAGTTTAATCGGTGTGCAGATATGCCGCTTAGATTAGTTAGAGCGTTGGGCGTGTAACCAGAGGACGCCGCGATTGAACTCTAGACTCTGGCAAAAATCATTGGTTTGTCGTTAGTACCTTTTGTTGCTGTGAGATTAACTCCATTTTCATGGGTCAAAGGAATAAAAAAAATTACTTTTGTAAGCAATTTTTTTTATTCCTTTGACCCCTAAAAATGTGGCTACTTGAAACAATTTTTTGATCCGTATCCGGATCCGTATCCGCGGATTTACAATTTCAATGATCCGGCACATCACTAAAAAAAATTCTTAAAGTTATAACAAATTTTAAATATCATATCAAGTGCAGAGAACAGCACTAAAACTAATAACATCCTTTTAAAAACTTTTAATCGCAAAAGTGACATGTAGTAGTTTTCCAATATAACATTGTAAAATGTCATATGAAAATGTGGTCATTTGCTGTAAAGAAAACACATTATATGGCGCCAGGCATTGCTTAAAATGCAACAAAAAGTAGTAAGTACGTTGATATTTTCGTCGGTGTGAAGATATGTATAGCTCAATGGCGCGAATTCCAGAGGACGCAGGTTCAAATCCTCGCTGCGGCGAAAATGATTTTCGTAAATTTTTCTTATTTCATAATTCATAAAATAAAATTTGTTTTGTTTTATGAATGAATAATTAAAATTTAAAAAAAAATATTCAACTAATATCCATAATATGTCATTGGGTTCTAACACATGATCTCGTTAATACATTAAAGTTTGGAAATTCAGCAAAACACGTATACGCCAGTAGACTTACTCCACAAAAATAGTACTGTACTAACAGGTCCCGAAATAGTCAAGTAAAATTTTAAAATTTGTTGTTCTTTATCACTTGTAAAAACATAGGAATATATCTGATAAAGTCGACGACGTGTGAAAAAACACTTCATGGATTATCGCATTCCGAACGTATAAATAAAAAATAGATATCGTTTTATTTATAGCCAAATTCATATCGTTTTATTTATAGCAAGTACGTTTCAACTAGTTATTGCTATTGCACGAGTCAGGTTATTCCGTGGGAGTATCACGGCCTCACAGAAGTCGAAAATAAGGCAAGAAATTAATGTATTTTGTCTTGCCACATATTATGCAACCGCTTCCCAATCTGTGAAAAGTATTTTTTCAAGTAAGAACATAGCAAGCGAGCTGGCGTTTAACCTGATGTTAAGTGACCGCTGCCCATGAACATATGCAACACTCGTAGGGTTGCAGATGCGTTGCCACCTTTTGATAAAGTGGGCCCCGATTACCTCGCTCACCTGACGCAATGTAGAAATTTAAATCTTCCACCTCAAGCGGGTCTTTTGTGAGGTCGTAGTACTTCCCTGGACGTACCTGCCCGTCCGTGAAACAGCAAAGACTACTGCGTGGTTCTACCACACTCAAGCTGCCAAGGTTACTTCGAGCTGATCGTCAATTACTAATTGTTTGACTTCAGGTGAACCGCATGCCATCATTTACCACCTTTAGTCAAAACTGTAGTCTGTAGTGTAGGAAAAAGGTAGAGAAGCTCTGCGCATAAAATGTCTTGTATTAGGCCGTGTTGGTGAATTAATAGTTAAAAATAGTTACTAAATCTTGGCTTCGCTAGTGATATTCTGGTCTGTTACCGATATTTGCAAAATCTCCAGTGGTATACTTGATCTGAAATCCTAGCTAAAGTTATTATTATTATTGCTTATTTATTATTATTATGCCCTACTATAAGATTATCATCTCTACATTCTATACTCAAGACCCTTTCGAAATTAGCTTGAGCGCAACAACCTGATTACAGACAAATAATCAACTTACGCGACAGATAAATATAATTATTAAAACCATTTCATAACATGACTCGATTAAATATCGATATGAAAACGAAAGCGAAATAACATTATGCGCCTTAATAGGCGGACAGATAAAAAATACGTAAGTAAAGGCCAATGGAATCGGCTATAAATACGAGAGGAACGCACACAAAACGGGAAATCCGCCCTTTGTCATCGTTGAGCTCTCCAACGACGCGAGGACAAAGATAGTGGTGACGCACCGCTTAGATTATTAGGCCTAATACACCACATGTGCTAGGCGACTGCGTTAATGTTAGGGTTGGCGTAACCGACAATTTAAATATTATTTTTCCGTATCTCAACCATGCGCACCATTATTATATACACTGACATTTTTATAACTTTAAAGTTCGGATATTACTGTCTATATAGCGATCACTTAACGAATTAAAATCACTAGTTATGATGACTGAAAATTCATCTGAAGTGAACAAAGTTTAAGTGCTACCGGACTACTTAAAACAATATTGGTTACCTATATGAAAAAAATGGACTCAAATATCAACGCCAAAAAGCCGCCAATCATACGATTGTGTGGTATTCCCCTGAAACAGGTGGCGGAGTTCAAGTATCTCGGCCATATAGTTAACGAGCGCCTCGTGGACGACGGTGATATAGAGAGGGAGCGAAGGGCGCTGTCGGTCCGGGGCAATATGTTGGCCCCGCAGATTTGCGCGAATCCTTTTGTAATTCAGAGGTAAAATTAACGCTGTTTAGAGCCTACTGCCAAACCTTTTACACGTGCAGTCTGTGGGCGGGGACTACACGCAGCGGACCTTCAGAACTAATTTCGTGTGCAGTACAACAATGTGCTGAGAGCGGTATTGGGGAAGCCGCGTCACTGCAGTGCATCTGCAATGTTTGCGGAGGCTCGTGTAGACGACTTCTACGCGATCTTCCGGAAACGTGTTGCATCCATGATGAGCCGGTTAGTGAACAGCTCCAATGCCCTTCTCAGCACTTTGGCGTGCAAACTCGACAGCCCACTCTGGAGGAGTTGGAATGGTGCACACACATATGCTAACAAGCGTGTGTGTATTTAATGTTAGTTAATCTTAGTCTTAATTATATTAATTTTAATTTCTTTTGATTTATTTTTTAATTTTAGTTAATTTTAATTTATTTTGATTTATTTTTAATTTATTTTCCCTTTATTGATTTTTTCATTTTGTTTTGTACTAACCAAATATGGACCCTGGTCTGAAATAAAGATTTATTATTATTATTATTATTAATAGTTAAAAATAGTTACTAAATCTTGGCTTCGCTAGTGATATTCTGGTCTGTTACCGATATTTGCAAAATCTCCAGTGGTATACTTGATCTGAAACCTATTTTTTATTATTATTATTTCTTTATTTATTATTATTTATGCCCTATATAAGATTATCATCTCTACATTCTATACTCAAGACCCTTTCGAAATTAGCTTGATGTTACAACCTGATTACAGACAAATAATCAACTTACGCGACAGATAAATATAATTATAAAAACCATTTCATAACATGACTCGATTAAATATCGATATGAAAATGAAAGCGAAATAACATTCCGCGCCTTAATAGGCGGACAGATAAAAAATACGTAAGTAAAGGCCAATGGAATCGGCTATAAATACGAGAGGAACGCACACAAAACGGGAAATCCGCCCTTTGTCATCCGTTGAGCTTTCCAACGATCCGAGGACAAAGATAGTGGTGACGCACCGCTTAGATTATTAGGCCTAATACACCACATGTGCTAGGCGACTGCGTTAATGTTAGGGTTGGCGTAATCGACAATTTAAATATTATTTTTCCGTATCTCACACATGCGCACCATTATTATATACACATACATTTTTATAACTTTAAAGTTCGCATTATCACTGTCTATATAGCGATCACTTAACGAATTAAAATCACTAGTTATGACTGAAAATTCATCTGAACGTGAACAAAGTTTAAGTGCTACCGGACTAAACAATATTGGTTACCTATATAAAAATTTTTGTTAACAAAATATCAAACACCGAGAGACTTGTTTTGATCATCTATAATATAATAAAAACAAAATGTATCCGAAGATAAACTTCAACGTCCTTCAACGACCTTAAATCTATTAAATAGCGAGGAAAACCGAATGACATATGTCCATTTTCCGAATCTGTCCGCGCAAAGATAGCGTGAATCAAATAATGTCAAGATACAATGTCAAGGTGAGATAACGAGTGTGCCGAATTTATTTCGCCGCATTAAAAGTCCGGTGCATCAGATATTCAAAACTTCCAGAACAAAAAAAAGGCGAATGGAATCCTTTTGTAACTGACTTCAATAAAATAGCCTATGTAAATAATTAAAAGAGATTTATCGAAACTAAAATATAATTCATAAATGTAACAAGTCTAAATACGACACCAATAACGTGAATCGTCTTTACATTAATTGTGCAATTTAAAAAAAAACAAAAATATCAAGTATAATAAAAATTAAATCAAGAAAGACTGAGTAAAACGCTAGTCGATTGTACTTTTAAATTGTTATCATTACTGTCGCTTTAGCGCAACCCACGTCCGAATACTACTCATTGAAGCCATTCCAGTATTAATCGCTGTAAGCGCTGTCTTTGTTATTGCGTTGCTTATCCAATATGGCTGGCGGCTGGAAGTTCAAGTCTAAAAATTATAACATATGAATACTGTGGCATATTCTTCTGATTTCACGTAAAAACCGCTCGACCGTAATGATAATGTAAGTATACTTACGAAATTTACTTTTATAGAGGATTTGCGAAAGACAATAACGAAACAATAATTATAATACATACTGTACCTATCAGCGTGCAAACATAAACAGTAATAATGATAACAGAAATAAATCGTGTCGCATCAATTTGTTGAAAAATATCTCAAACTATAATAACTAACATTTCAAAAAGATCTTCAATAAACGACTTCGTTTTGGTAAAAAAAATCAATGACTCACTATTGTGAGGAATCAAACATTTTTTTTACCCAAACAATTTTTTTAAACAAATTTGATTGAAAAGCACTTTTTTGTATAGGTTTTTATACGCTTTTTTATATCTTCGATGGCAATAAACAAAGCAAACGTTGTTTAAAGTAGCCTAGATGTCAACTGCTGGTCGAAAGGCGGTCTGCGCTCTCTTGGACTGGTAGCGGCGTGACGTAATTCTTAAAGCGGACCGCCAGGGGTACCACGAAGAATGCGATGACGTGGTCCCGTACATGGGCGGCTGCAACTTGCACGCCGACTTGTGCGCTGGGTACGGGCGACGCGCGTTTGGGTTCCGCACGCACGAACACCTCCGCCTTGAGCCCCGGAGCGAGCAGAAACCTGGTGCGAGGATAGCAACGCCACGATGCTCCGAAGCGGGCTTCTCCCGTCCATATGGCGCAGCAGTGTACGTAAATCGATCGCGGGCAGACGTTCAAAAGGCTGGAAAGCGATATAGGGAATAATTCGTCAACACTAACAAGTTATCCAGAGGATCGGGCTAACGTTTAAAAGGCTGTAAATAGATGTTACTACCTAATAATGGGGATAATACGTACTACCCCTAACCCCAGAGTCGATTTCGCATTTCTAATCGCATTCACCTTTTTCATTTTCATACATATAGGCACACAAGCTATTTTTCAACGTTACATGTACTGAACAAAAGAAAGTACTGGCAATACTTTCTTTCAATTTATCAGATTCTTTTTTAGGTGACATAACATAACTCATCAGGGTATCGTTTTTTTTTTTTCTAGATTGAGTCGGTTACATAAAATATAACATAAAAGAACAAACTATGGTCTTAACTGATTTCAGCTTTCGCAAACGTCAGGATTCCCAGTTGTTTCTGCGTGACAATGGGTTGGTAATTTGACAATGTCCACTTTCAATGTTCATCAAAAGAATTGAGTTGTAGTTGTCTATAATCTTCCAAGAAAAAAAACCTAAGCATAACACAGTTGAACCTCAACTCTTTTTACCTTATATTAAATATTGTAGTCTTGTGGGTAAAGGGCTAAGTATATAAGGTATTATATACTTATTAAAGGGTTAAGTATATAATACTTTATATAATTAACCCTTTAGCCGCAAGACGCAGATGCGAATTCTAGCACCGCTAATTTTTTTTCCAGAATTCGTGTATTAAACTTACATAAAAAACGTATGAAATAAGCAAGTATGAGACGATATGTGCATTGAGACTGACTTTACTCTGCTGCAACGTCTTACCATAATTTCTTAGTGACAATCCTATCATCCACTGTTATGTATATTGTGTCCGGAAACCATGATAATGCTAAAGGATGACGCGGTACTGGTTGAGGGAACTTTTCGTCTGCAACAGTTCTCGATGACTGCTCTTTTATTTGTAAACATGATATTTCAAAAAAATCTATAGAAATCTGCAAAAACGGTGCGGTGGTGTTGTTAAAACGAAAATCGTGATAGCCAAAATATTTATAAAATGAACTGAGCTATCTTTGATTCAACTTTTAAAACAATTACAATAAAACAAAAAGTGCATAGACATCGATCAAGCTGCCTTTAAATTGGTCTATCTAGCAACAGGACAGTCTTACTTAAAATAAAATTTAAGTATTTAGCACATGAGCGATTTAATGATTTCAATATAAAATAGTTTATGTCATAATCTTGGACATTGTTAATTTTAATCATAATTTAGCTATATACATATAATTAATCATTATTTTATCTTTAATTAGCTTCACAAGTTTACGTTACGTACGTCTTCAGGTTCAACTTTTTCACGCGGATTACTTGAAATCAATGGCGGTAGGGTATTTTTCTGTCTGTTCTCTATTATTTGAGATTGGGAAATCATCATCTTATAATTTTTTTCCTGCCCAAATTTGATACTTGAATGACGGTCTCATGTTGCACACATATAAATAAGGTCACACAAGGTCACTTTGTTCAACTCGTGACAGATAAACATAGCTAGAAGAAAAAATAACATAGATAATAATATTTCATAAACATAATTGTATTTAAAAGTTGGGATTGATGTGATCATCGTGGCATAGATAAGTAATATAATAATATAAATAGTCTTGTTTTATTTAACATTTTTTTTCTAGAGATAATTCTCCAATTTTTTTTAAAACTAGTACATGAATTCGATAAGATGTTATAATACACACATCTAATCGAATCATATATAAAGTCTGTGTGTCTGTGTAATTATCTGCTCCCCCTTCACTTCACGACGGCTAAACAGATTCGAATGAGATTTGGAACCTTCCACTATTTATGACATTCCTCACATGAGAACCATTTTTACATCGCTTTCGCGCGTGTTTTCTCGTTCATAATGCGATACAGAAAATCATCTCCGTGTTCATCTAGCCACCTGATTACAATACGAGTGTCATCAAGGCAAGATTCAACAGGCTTATACTGAGCTAGTGTGTTTACCATCAGCGAGTTATCGTCTCTTCCTTTAAGTGGATGGTTGTGAAACATGCGAATGATAATAAAATAGTGCTTCTTATACTACAGTACATACTACAGAATTCTGGTTCGGTTACTAAATTATATTCGGCACCGCGACTCATGAGTTGATTCGGATCAGTATTTTCCAACATTTTTTACAGTTTCGGGTCTGCTCCGTTCTGGTTTGTAAACGCCTTCCTAATCCAAGATGTTTTTATTTTTGGGTTAACATTTGTCAATAAAACCCTAGAACAATTCAGCTTATGATCAACCTCCTTTTGTCCCCAACACATCCACCATCTGACCGAGCAAATCCTGAAAGGCCTCAACCACCCTAAACACATTACTCCGAGAGCTCTTTCTCGATGATGTAAAGGCATTCGACAAATTCTGGCACAACGAAATATTTTACAAGCTGTTCATGCTCAACGAGACAAGCTCGTACGGCCCCATCCGGCCCTTCCTGTCGAATCGCTATTATCGTTATCGAGTAGAGGGCACTCTCTCCACGACCCGACCTCTCACGGCCGGCGTTCTTCAAAGCTCCTACGTCTTCCCTTTGCTATTTTCGCTCTGCACGAGCGACATCCCACGGGACAAGTGAATTTCGCGGATTTCGCAGATAAAACAGCCCTAAACTTCTTTGATAAACGTATAGGCCGAGTCACCATTCGCTTCCAAAACGCTACTTGTTGCCTCAGTGATTGGCTTGCCAACTCTAACCCCCCTATCTAAATGATTCGATCACACCAGAGCAAGAAGCGAACGAAAATCACATTATACGACTAACTCCTCTCTCTACTAGAACTAGCTTCATCGAACGCAGAACTCATGCAATCTGGCTATCCTACGTATTCTGCGTTCACTGATGCTTTAATAGTCGAACTGAAAGCAACATAAAAGTTGAATTAAAGAAAGCTTTGTTACATGTTCTCAGCGCTATATAACGTAATAATACAGAAACCCAAGTCGGTTAGACGGGCGGTTTGCCCGCGCCACGACGCGTGACGGTGGCTCCCGAGGGAGCGGAAGTCTTACACTTCCGGCCCGGAGATCCGCTCCGATACTTCACGATCACGACGTCCCGACTCCTGACCGCTGTTTGAATGAGAAACCATCCGTTGTTCGTGTTTTATATTTAAAACTTATAGCATATTATAAGCCGCAAGCTATTATAACTATTCACTTACAATTCACATTGACTGAACTACCTCAGCAAATTCATCGTGCAAAGACGCTAGACAAATTAAAAAATTACGTAAAGAATCACTATCTTTCCCTCTGTAATCCATAGGTAACATTGACAATATTAATCTATTATACTTTCATATATTTATTTATGTTAATTATATATATTATATATTTATTTATGTTTATGTTATTATTTTATGATATTATTTTATTATTATTAAGTAAGTTTATTAAGCACACCCCCTCCCACTATTCATAAGTTTATTTTCCTTGTACTAAGGTTGTCTGGAAGAGATCGCTCTTTAGCGATAAGACCGCCTTATTGTACCTAGCTTTTAAGATTTATTTTATATGAACTGTACAAAACTTTTTGTGGTGTACAATAAAGTATATACAATAATAATATAATAATTCACATCAATTTCACTCACACCCATATATACATGTTCACCCTTGTTTCAATTTACGGAAAAAAGTATTAGGTATTAATCTAGACTTTATCTCTCCATTTCGAATTTAGTTAAATCTTCTTCTTTTTTTGCTTTATGTTTATAGGCATTCGCCAGACTCAACTAAAATATAGGAAAATGATTAAGTGTTTAGATTCTAAAACAGCTTCGACATAGCAAAGACATAAAGATCATAATTACAAATATATAGAACTCATGAAAAAAAAGTAACTATCTGTTGAATTATCTAGACAATTTTTTATATTAGACATGTAACCTGAATCCATCAAAGTTTAGTTAAATCCTTTAGGTCATTGAAATGTGAAGCGGAATAAAACATCCATGACGTTAATGATTTTAGTGCATTGCTCCTCCGTGATCACTATGGGAGACGTATCTACTTCCTAACATTTTTCTCTTCCTAACGATTTATATGTTTATCGTTGAAGCTAAGCTTCGGTATAAACCGACGTGTTGGAAAGTTTTAAATTGAGTAATTAAAATTTAAAAGCTGGGGCTTTTTACTTAGCTGTGGGGCGGAGTACTCTCACAACAGTAATCATTTTTATAAAATGCATAAAAGTGAATTTCAATTATATAGATCCATTAAAGTCCCCATAGGTTTTAGGAACTGGCCGACTTCAATATAATATACATACTAAATAAGTCAGCCAGTTTTTCAATTCGATTTTCGATCGTAAAGTTTGATTTGGATTACGGTGACAATTTGGTGAGAAAATCAGTAACTATTACGAGTTGGTGGAGCGGTCATGATTTTATTAATTTCAACCTTACTCGTGTTATCAAAATAAGTGAGTAGGCAATGCGAATGATTTCACTAATAGCCCCGACACAGCACGCCGGCCTAATGGGCCGCGATTCCTGCCTGCTTTAAATACGAATGAATTTAGCCGGGAACTATTTAACTGGCTTTGGACCGTAGACTAAACAATGAGATCAGCTGACCTATAGAGGCTGACGCGCGGATTTTGCACAAAGACATCGGTTCAGGCGAACACGACGCGGCGAGCGTCGTATTATGCTAAACGAAACTGACGCAGTCAGCTACATCGAGCCCATACTGTCAGTACGCCGAAGAAAACAGTCTAAATGTGTTTACATAAAAGGCCTCGCAACAGTTCATCTGATATCTAGATTTAAAAAAAAAACAGAACTGATAAGTTGCCCGTAGAATACTTGTCAGTTAATGTTCATTAATTTATTCCATATCCAGTATTCGTGAATAATGATTGAGAGCAATCAATATGTACGTGATTGTATGTTATTGAGATTAATTGATTGTTTAGTATGTTTTTAGAAATATACTTACATTTGGATAAATAGGAACATCCCTGCTTATGAAAAATATACTTTCTTTTCGCTGGACTACGATTCTGTTTAGTTTCTGCTATTTAAAAAAATAAAAGGTAGATATTTATGACTATTATCTGTATTCTGCACAACACTATCATGTATTATCCATTATAAGTGAAATGATAAAAAAATGTCTTGTCAAATTTGAAATTAGACTGTGTTCTCTTTAGAACATGTAATTAGGGCAAAATAAATATCTCCGACGGTATAAAATATCCTACAGTGTAAATTTCATTAAACTGAGATATTCCTGGGAACCTTCAAGCAAAAAAATCCAAAAAAATTACCATTATGGAGCTTAATTAGTCCCGAACGATAAGAATAGTGGTGATCAGAAATACTTGACAGTGGTTTTTGAACAGAAGTCGTACTCAGGTATCGCTTCCCTAACAATTACAGAAACATAAACTGTAATTAAAATATGTATTACATTCGTAATAACTAATTACGAATAGGTATTACTGTATGTATCCATATAATTATCGCTGAATCGCCTAGATCGCATATGCCGAACGCTCTTCTAAGAACGTAATAAGGAAGGAAAACTGGTCGATCACAACACCTTATCACAATACAAGCGGAAAAATAGAGGAATGCTAATGTATCGGCTGCCCACCCAACCTGACATATGACACCGGACAGGCCTTTTGTTGTGTGCGAGTAGTGATATATATTATGCTTATAATTGATAGGAGGAATGTATTAAATATTAATTTTTAATTAATGTTAATGTTTAATACAATTTTAAAAAGTTATCCTTTATGTGAGTTCATTTATTGTCGCGGTGGGAACGACACGCTGTATATTAAATGACCGAAGAACATGTTAATGGTGGATGGTGGTAGGGCCACACAGAAGCCTCGGCTGTTGCACGAATGGGCAGGTAAGTACCACGAGCTCACAGAAGACCGGCGTAAAGTGGAAGTATAATACTTTAGCGTTTTGTCTGGTGAGAGAGGTGCCTGGAGCCCAATTTTCAAAAGGTTGTCAACGCATCTGGAACCATCGGGTGTAACAGATGTCCATGGGCGTCGGTATTCACTTAACATCAGGCGAATCGGCTGCTCGCATGGCAACTTTTAACACAAAAAAAAGCACATCTGCTTTTATAATTTGTACCCTTTAGGTACAGAATCCTAAAAGGTGAGCCCCTCACGAAAGGCGTGAATTTTCGTAGGCTAGACCTGGGAGGTACCATAGCCTCACAGAAGACCGACATGACGGAGCAATACTAATACCTCTGCTCATCATCCGGTGAGTGAGGTAATCGGGGCTTACTTATTTAATGATTGGCGAATCTTGACCGTGGCTGTTGTAGATTTTCATCGGTGTTAACATTAACATAACAACTTTATGGCACAATGTTATCGTTATCAATGTATAAACTTTTATGAATTAATTTATAATTTTAATTAAACAAAATATCACGTTGAAACGTATAATTTTCCAATGAAATATTTTGATAACTATTAAAATAGAAATACAACCTATAATAATGTATTGATATTTAGATAAAGGCATAAATACGTACTCTTTATCTCTAATCGTATTTAGAGTAAATTAAATAAAATTGTTAAGCATATCATGTACCGTATTAAGTCATGTACAAAGCAAGTGTTTGTAATTGATACGGGATTTGAACAAATATTAGTTTCTGTTCTAAGCAATATTAAATACATATTCTTATTTGGTTATCATAGTTTGAATATTGATAGAAATCTTTTTATTTGGTTTTACACACCATCAGAAAAACTCAAATCGTATTATTTAATAATGTTAAACAAAAATGTTTGCACCGTTTATAGGCGTGAACCATTATAACTTTATATTACTTTAACAACTAATTAAATGTTAAAACGAGGCAATTCGAGGAGAAACAAAAATGTTAAACCTTAACCGATTTTAAAATTTACTCATACTTTTCTCGAATACGGAGACAGACTGGCAGTCAAATAAGATTTGATTTCGAATGTTAAATCGAAAACATAACTGCTATACCCGTGCTATAAACGTGTACCATAACCGAACGCCTAACGTCCAGGGTGGCGCTCTGGAATCCGTCGATACTGGAGCTTCGCCGTGGCCCGAGGGAGGGGAGCTGTGGCGGGGGGGGGGGGGGGGGGGGCGTTACGAGGTGAAATAACGGATGAAGTCCGTGGGAACGGCCAAGACTTCCGCTCCGCTCGCCAGCTCGCGCCTCGACACTCGAACTATTTCCTTTCCGTAGGGTGACCAGATAATATCGTAACGCTGAATAAACAAGGACAAGGCTTATTGCCTCTTGTCGGCCCGTCCCGGACATTGCAACTCGAATACGAGCGTTAAGCAGAACTATTAATGCCTATGCGTTTCGTCTAGTGACGGGTACTGTTAAAGGTAAGAAACGCAAAAGTGCAGAGGAAAATTTTCTTACTTCTTCTATCAACGCGAACCTTTTAACGTTTTAACATTTTAACTAGTTTTATTTGATAACGAGATTTTAGAGATTGGCCGGAACCAACTGACAGACAAAAATTGTAAAAAAAAAATGTTATTTTGATAATATGTACCGTGTACCTACCTCCATATGGAGGTAAAAGCATATGCTTTTAGTAAAAAGCGGTTATTTTAACATTACAAACAAAAACTCCAATTTTACTTATCTGTATATATGTATAGAGATAAGTAAAATTAAAGTAATTTAGATACTTTTCATCTTATAAATATTGGATAAATAAAGTTTTATTTGAACTGGAATGCCAGTTTATCTTTACCAGATGATGTTTTCGCCCTCAGACTTATGGATTTGACAAAGAAAAGCCCGCGAAAAATCTGAAGTTCCCGCGGATTGCGGATGGTTACGTTTACTCGTAAATAGAATAATAATGACATATTGAATAACACGCATAATAACATTATTATCCTAAGCCACGCGAGTTGTTATTACGTTAGACTTTGAAATTAAACGGCAAATATGTTTCCCCCACTTTGACACACTTGGAAAACATATTAAAAAACAATAAATCTTATTCCATCATGGAATAAAAACGTAATTCTCAAATCAAACTTACACAGCACAATGTAAAATCACAGATTAAACATTGCACAGAGCAATGTAAAATCCC